TGTTAGTGACTGGAGGGGACAAGGCCCTTTTAGAGGAACTTTTGGGGGGTTGGGGATAAAACCCCTCTTTGATTTCTCCCCCCCCAAAAAAAGGACAATTCTGGCTTTGATTAGCAGCATGAGTGATGGTCAGCCAAGATTGCCTAAAGGAGGAATGCTTTTCTTTTCAAAGGCACCAGACCTGTTGATCAGGATGAGGCACCAAGGTGAGAATTTCACCCAGAGGCTCAGGAGACGCATTTTTCAGCCCCCTGAAAGCTGCCAGCAACTGTGTAGCAGGAACCCTAATGCTTCTTGACAGCCATATTTAAAGTCTCTCTGTCTCTGTTCATTTGTTCAGTTGGAGGACTCGTCTTGGGCACGTCATGCTCTTTGCAGTAGAAGGTTCTTTCTTTCTATTATTGGCATTGATTGGAAGACACCACCTGATATTTCAATGAGTCAGAAAGAACAATAGGGCATGTTTCCATAAGCACCAGGAGATGCTTTGTGGAAAGAGAGAATAACGGCAATTAGTACTTAGATTTCCACTTGTTTCTGACGCCCATTGTTTTGTTCGTTAAAGGAAACAAGTAGTTATTATTCTGGGAGAATGTTTTTCTGCTCCATTTCAGATTCTCGGTCCTCTTGCAACTCATTTCTATTTAGCCAACACCTCTGATGAGAATTCATCGGTGTGGTTAAATTTAGGACCCTATTCTATAGCATTTGCTGCAGATAGAACTGCTTGGAGAAAGCTGGAAAGCCACTTCCATTGTTGGAGTTTAATGCAGGGGATCTGGGACGCAAGGAAGAAGGTTATGTTCATCACCTGTGCTGTTTTGCAGAGAAAGATGGACAAGGGAAGGTTAAAGCTGGGTTCACAAAACATGATTGATTGATTGATTGATTGATTGATTGATTAGGTACTGTCAAATCGTTGTTGACTCTTAGCAAGCACATAGATGGATTTTCTCCATGATGATCTGTCCCCAACCTGGTCCTTCAGGTCTTCCAATGGTGCACCCATTGCCACTGTGACTGAGTCCATCCACCTTGCTGCTGGTCATCCTCTTCTCTTTCCTTCCACCTTTCCCAGCATTAGACCCTTCTCCTGAGAGCTAGGTCTTCACACAACATGCTGAACCTAAATTAAATGAATCATGTTATGGCTGAGTGCATTATAAATCAGCAATTGTGGCTTCTCATCCATGGTTTTTAGCTGGATATGCCATGCAAGCTAATTGTGGTGCATTCTGTAAACATTGTTAAACATGGCAGAGGATTTGTGAGCATTTGTGTCAGGTTTGGTCCTGTAGTTCTAATAATTGAAGAGATTTCTGTATGTGGGCAGAAGCTGGAGGAGAGCAAAGCAACTTCATATCTTCAGCTTTGGAAGCAGGGAGGTATGTTGCTTCATTAAGCAGAAAACTTGTGTTGGAACAAAGGACCCTTTGCAGCTTTGTATGGTCCTAATTCCTTAGTAGGTCCTGTGAACCAGGCCTAAAACATGAAAGCCAGAACCAAAGGTCCAGGTGTATCACCATGGTCCTGAGTGGTACTGCAAGACAGCTCAGTGCCATGGCTCTGTTTTCTCCAGTAGAGAAGTAGGGGACAAAATTTGCTGAACTACAGTTCCCAGCAGCCCCAGCAATTATGATCAAGGATGAGGAATGCTGGGTGTCATCATCTAGCAACATCTGGAGTATCAATACCAGCCGTTTTCCAGAGACACCCTGTTTCTGACTATCTGGCTGACCTTAACAATGTATCTTCTACCTGGCCACAAAGTTGGTTGGTGTTGATTTTGACGCCAGTCTTTCTAGTTGGTGTGTTTGGCCCATTTTGGGTCTGATCCTCTAGGGACCAAGGTTGGCTTATGGGGATATTCTGTTAATGTAGCTTTACAATAAAATAGAATTAACCCCTCTGGTCGTGTTTCCTGTCTGGTCTACCTAGTAAGTCTCAAAGTACAACTGTCCACCCTACTCCATCTTCTTTACAGCCTGAGAAACTAGGGAGGGTCTCTTCTGAGCCTCTTACCCCACCCATTATCCAGCTGCAGGCTATGCTGTCTCTTATCTCACCATTTCCTTGGCAGTGTCTCTTGGCCCAGTCTCCCAAGGTCTTTCCCACACACCGTTACAGATTATGGCTTGTCTTGACCTGCTGCTTATGCTGAGGGCGCCTCTCTCTCTTTTCCATTGAATCTGTCCATTCTCCGCTGTCTGATCTTCCTTTCTCCTGCCCACCTGCTCAGATGCTCCCCCACAAACTGGTTTTATAAATAATCTCGTGATGACAGCCCTTGACGGGGCCGAATCTTGCTGCCCGTGTGTTCACGTCTCGTTGGCAGCGTGGCATTAATAACAGACTCCATTGTGCAGTTCTGCCATTTTTTAAGTGCAATCATTCTGAGAAAAGGGCATCTCCTTAATTACAGGTCTGCTTAATTATAGCTCTGTGGAAGCTCGTTTGCGTGGAGGAGCCCACATGGCAGCTCTGAGGCATTTGGACAGATTGTTCCCTTTTCAGCTGCTGTGCATTTTTCCCACCCTTGGTGGCTCCCCATTTTTGAGGATCAAGCCGTTCTTCGCAGGAGCTGAGGGCTTCATGACATAGTCCTTTTCTCCATTTGATCTTCCTTAGAGCCCCATTGGGTAGACAAGGCTGAGACACAAGGAGAAAAAGTCATATAAAGATTTAGTGGGTGTACCTACACATGATTCACAACCTAGTTCATTACTTTATGGCTTAGTGGATTGTGTGAACCTGGAAAACGGGTTAATTCGGGCACGAAGGGCCTGATGTTGACTCTGGCTCCAATTTACAGTTGTCCCGCCCTTTCTATGGATCAAGAATTACTGTCCCGCCAAATTAACAAATGCTTTTGGAGTTGGTGCATCCGTCTTTTTGCCCTGCCAGAGACAGAAGACCGCAAAGCTGTAAATCCAATTTCCTAGGGATTGGGGGGACTTAAATTCTAACCCAACAAGTTAATAAAATGTCCTTTTAAGAGAATCTCGGCTTACACGGAAGTCCATCATCCATGCAGAATAAATGAAAGTCATTAAGGGTGGTTGCTCACTGGGGAGGAAGAGCGTTTTTTAGGCTGTCTATGATCTGATTTTGCTCACTTCCTGCTTCTTTGTCCTTTCCATCTGCTTGGGAACTTGGTTGTGCTTGAAGAACGCCCACTGTTTTCGTTTGGCAAGAAAGCGACCGTTCTCCACGTAAATTACACGCATTTCCTTGTTGGTTTCATGCAAGTGTATTTTTTAAAAACAATGTTTCTAGGTAGGCTTTCAAAACATTCGCCGTGTTAGAGCTTACTCCTCAGCTTAGATGAAGAAAGAAAAATTCAATTTCCTTTTTTGGGTGGATGGGTGGGTGGGGGAGAATGATGATGCCATGATGTGATGGGGTTATTTTTGCTGAAAAGTCTTTGTTTTGTATAGGGGAAAGCCTTATTCTCTTCTCCTTTCGATGTCTCTAAATCTATCATCATCATCATCGTCATCATCCCCCCACCTTTTATATATATATATAACTCAAGGCAGTGAAGATACTTAATACTCCTGCCTCTGTTTTCCCCACAACAACAACCCTGTGAGTTAGCTTATTCGTTCCCATTTTCCCCCCTGGAAATCCTACTGCTTTGTCGTCAATGTAACACCAGGGCATTCTGGGAGATGTAACAACAGATCTAGAGATCAGGTGCAGCCCGCAAGCTGGCCTCTCCTGTTTCAGAACTTTGCACCAGCTTCATCAGCCAAGAATCGGGGTTCTCCTTAGGTGCCCTGCGTAATTGAAGAAGTTTGATGCAGCTCGTTGATCCTTGGAGTTGCTCGTCTCGGCACCGTTTCCCATTCCTGGGAAGCCAGAATTATACGCAGCATTCAAGCATAGGTTGTGTCTTTCTTTCAAGACTTTATAGTCTTCTCTTTTCTGTCTTTTTTGGATGCCTGCTTTGTCTTTTTCACAGCACTTGTGCATTGCACCTTCGCGTGATAATTTATGGGGGTTCTGAGACTTCTTTTCTGATCAGTTGCTTTTAGTGATAGGAAGTACAAGTTTAATGGATTTAGAGGCTGGAAGGCCATGGTGTGTAGTGGGTGGGCCCAGATTTTGTAGGGGGGGAGTGGGAAAAGTTGATGTTTTATTTATTAGTAGTAGTAGTATCATCATCATCATCTTTATTCCAGTCACTGGCCAGCAAATTAAAAAGTCGACATCATAAAAGAATGAAAAACAGCATAGGAAGCTGTGACACCAGGAAGAATAGACATTATCTAGAAAGAGCAATAAAGCACCTTAAAGTCTGAAATGTATCTTAAGACATCAACAGGAATGCATATGACATTGGCTGCAGTACAATAAGTATAGATAGCAGGGTTTTTAAAGTAAAATAAAAGCGAAATAATTACATTAATTAACAAAAATACCTTAAGAGTAAAATACTAGAATTCTCCCTGTTGAGTAAATACATCGTGGATGAGTTTGTGAATATGTAAGTGTGTATAAGTAAAATCTTAACTTTGTCTGTGAGAAATAAGAGATGACAGGGGATGAGACCTATAAGCAATGTTACAAGCATAGGAGTACAAAGTAAAATTGTATATTAATAAAATTGTACTTGATTTATAGACGCTGATTCTTTTATAGATGAAAAGAATACACAGCTTATGAAAAAACCTGCTCAAAGACCAATCCAAAGTCCAAAAAAGAAAATTGATTAAAACACAAATTGAATATTAACATGCCTGCTTTTTGACCAAACTAAACCTGTTTTAGGCATCCATGTAGCTGTCCTTTGCTATCACTTTTCAAATGAGAGGAAATGGAAATTGGGCGCTGTAGGGAGGGCCAAAAAATGAGGTGTGACAAGAGTAGATTTTTGCCCCGGTGTGTGGAGAAGAAGACATGTTCGTGGTTTGTATCATGATGGTTCTCTTTGGGGACTGAAGAGATGAGAAGCCACCACATTGTCCCAGCCTTCATTCTTTGTGATTTCTTTGTAGCGATGGAAGGTGTTCCTTTTATGATCTCAGAGAAGTTTGCCTGTGCTTCTGAAGGGGTGAGTTTTCTCTATTTATTCATTTATCTATGTAGTAGACCTCTGGAATTACAACTAGACTCCTGGCAGTTCACCATTGAGGAACATCACAGTTCAAATACTCCAAAGTCCATTGTCACAATCATGATCTGATCCATTGCACCAAGCCCCTGCTTCCTTGCCCTCCAGAAGCTCTCCAGAACATTTCGCCTTGTAATTTGGGAAAGCCGTTAAGTGGAACGTCTTGGATGGGTCGGTTCGACTTGCCCCAGCTGCCACTTTTTAATCTCCATACCATCTTCATCCACCCCATCGTCCATGAGAAAGCTGGGGCTGACTCCTTGTTCTGTATAATACAAAGGTTCCAGATATCAGGAAGAGTTTGGGGGGCAAAGCGGATGGGGTATAATAGTTTCCTAGCTTCAAAATCACTTCAATTCGGTGTCCTCTGCCTTTTGCATGCCTCCCTGCAGCTCAGGGCACCTCAGTCTGTATCGCCTTTGCCTCTGCTCCTGGGAGCTGCTTAGCTCTTGAAAAATGCTGTCCGTCCCATGCGCCCAGCGCAAAGGAACTTGAGCTGACCCAACTCTCCTCCGTTGCTGTGGCAACACTGGCTGGCTACCAGCTGCTAGGAAGAGAGAAGCCTCCCCAGCTCTATTTACCAGTTCTACTCTTGGAAATGCAGAATTCGCTATGGCCAGAGGAGACAGCAGATGGACCTCTGTTGGAATCCAGGCAGAAGAAGAGAATGCTGGAAGCAAACCCCCTTTCCTGGAATTCCTACTTTCTCCACCAGCTTAAGAGTAACATTATTATTGTGTGCAACAATATACTTTACAGATTAGGGGAGGGGGCAGCCCAGAATGCCTCAATTTGCCCAGGGTTCAGTCGTTGCAATGCAAGAACATGCAATTTGAGCTGTAGGGCGTCACACAGGTCTCCTGAAGCCTCAACAGAAAACCCTTCAAAAGTTGTACAGTTGATCATGGCAGAAGAAGAATGTTATGAACGATGGGGGATCACTCTGTTACCTGCCCGTTGTGATCTTGCCTTGCTCTGAAAACTGATCCCGTTGAGTTTTTCTCTTGCCCCCTTTTAGTCTTCTAGCCCCATCTGCTTTGGCAAGTCCAGCTTCTTAAAAGCCAGAAATGGCCCTCAGCCCCCAAAGATTTGTACACTCTTGATGAAAATGAACCTGCGTAAACATTAATAAACTACCAGAGATCTCAGTAGGGTTTATTGCATCTAGAAATCAGACACTGAAACCATTTAAAACTATTTTAAAAACCCTAGGAGGAACTTGACAAAGAAGAAGCATGCTCACAGAGGAGAGATAAATTGGTAGAAGCTTTCCATCTTAATGCGCATGACCTTTCTAGTGGCAAAGAAGATTGGCCATAGATGGTTGTGGCATCTAATTTCCAAAAATAATGTATGAGTAGGAGGGGCATTCATTTTTGTTTCTTTCCTTTTGTTTTATCCCATCTTCTTGTTGGATTATTTTAAGAAAATAATAGAACCGTCCCAAAATGTGACTGCCCCAAAGAACTTTTGTTATTGTAGCAGAGGGCCTTTCTTAAAGCATCCATCTGAACAGTCATTGAGTTCATCCATAGCCTTGTTTACATACAGGTCCATTTTGTGCTTGCTAGGAGTTTCCAGGATGGGGGAACTTAGTTTATATTAGCTTTTCCTCCATTTGGTCACCACCTTCCAATGGGTTCATTTTCAGCCAGGGTGGGAGCCACCATCCCAACAGTTAGAAGGCACCTGCCTTGTAGGGGGAATCAGGATTAGATAATAACGGTTGGTAGCGGGCAGAGTTGTGCTTCTTCTGTGGCTCTTTGACTATGGCCAGGGTTAGAATTAGGGTTAGGGATTCTTCCACTGGTGGGTGAAAGTACATGATTGGCCTTGTCGGGACCAGAAAGCTAAGCAAGTGCAGGCCTGATTAATGCTTGGATGAGGTATTTCCAGAAAAGGGTGTAGGCTAGATTGGGAAGTTGAAAACATATCCGGGAAGAAAGCAGTGGCAAATCACTTCTGTATCGCTGCCCCGAAATCTCCATGGAGAGGCCCAGGGGGCCATCTCCAACTCCTTCAGCTCAAAGGAGACGTTCTCTTAATCCACCCCAAGGGATCATAAGTGCACCAAAGTTTGAGTTAAGCAGTCCTTCTTGTCTTATTTAATATCAGCTGATTCTCTAGATCCTTGGGGGGGGGGGAAGTAGTTGTTTCCCTCCTTGTTCAGTAGAACCCCAGATGTTCACGTGGCTTTCCTCACTTCGCAAACTGAGGTGTTGCCCAGATGCCTCTCCTTGTTCCAACTTAGCATGAGATGATGGTGACCTTTGCTTCCCTCACCTGCCTCCTCTCCTGTTTCTCGCTGAAGCCCTAGTCCTATTCCCAAGCAGATCTCTTTGTCATTCGGTGCCCTACTGCCTCCTGGTATTGGACTACAGTTCCCATAATCTTGCTGACTTGAGGGGGGAGGAGATGGGAGCTTTAGTCCAGCTGAAGATCCCAAATAGGGAAAGGCTGAATTAAATCCTTAAGATTTAAATAGCATATTTCTATCTTTCCCTGTTTAGATGCAACCTGTTGACCTCCTGGGCATCACGATTAAATCTTTGGCTGAAATTGAAAAAGAGGTGAGTTTTTCTGGTGTGCTCTGGTCTCCCCGTACTCTGTTTTTGCAGTTGGAGAAGAGCTCCCCCCACCCTGCAGTCAACATTGCCTATGTATTCCCCATCTATTAATCTGTTATTATTATAATTATTATTATTATATACACAACAGCATGAAATCACAGCTGCCAGTTCTCCAGCTGGTGTTGGCCTTCATTCACATCAAGTTCTTCCCAAGAACCTCGGATGTTGTAACATATCAGCGTAGTAGATGTGCAGATCCAAGCAGGGTGGCCTTTTGTAATTGACAGATGGAAATGTTGTCAATGCGCAGATTTTCTAAGTGCCATCCAAGGTTTTTTGGTATGGCACCCAGTGTGCCAATAACCACTAAGACCACCACCACTGCCAGTTTATGCCATAATCCGTCAACTTCAATTTTCAGATCGTGATACTTTATGATCATCTCCTCCCCCTCTCCCTCCTTCTCCTTCTCCTTCTCCTTCTCCTTCTCCTTCTCCTTCTCCTTCT